AGATATGCCAGATAGAATGCCAGATAGAATGCCAGAAGATGTGCCAGTAAGAACATGTATAAATGTCATGGTGGGGATCACACGAAGTAAAGTAATTGTTTTTTTGCCAAAAGAAAATTCTTTGTCCTGGTTCCGGTAATTTGCTTCCCACAACCAGTGCAGTGATTGCTTCGAGAAATCCCCATTGTTTCAACCAGTGGTGGTGATTTTGCTACCATTACCATGTGGAACCCCAAAGATAGGTCAGTTGGTTTGTGACTAGGTTTACCATGTTTCATGATGGATATATATATATATACACTATTCTATGTTTACAGTAGATCAGTGAAATTTACTTGGCTTCAAGGAGGTGGCCTCAAGTTATGTATGTTAGTTCATGATGTTTATTTGTGTGTGTTGATGATCACCCCCATAAAACAAGTGACAGTTACACGCCCAAACATAGCGACGATTCATCCACTTGGATGAACTTTTGGGATAAACCAACATACAGCCATCTCCATGTTGGCCCATTCAGAAGACCCCCACTTTCTCTATGTACTTTTGAAAACCCGCTTGGGTAATGTCATCAGCCGTGGAACCATCAGGGTTTTGGTATAACCAACAGTATTTCTGTGGTGATACTCCCCAGCTCCAACTTCACGCAGCGAATCCGCCACAAGAACAAGCAATTCCCATCAGCATTTCCATGAATATCCCATCTTTTCCATTCATATCCGATGTTTTCATGATTTTTTATGCAACTTTTCTATAAAATCTAGACCTTGACATGATACCCCCACTATCCCATTGAATGGGTCCAGCACTTCACCGCTAGGTAAACCACTTCACCTGGGCCAGCAATGTGACTCTGAACCGCTTCTCGCGCGCCAAGTTCGCACCACAACAGGTGCGGTTGGCAAAAGCCAGGGAATGGGATTTGGGTATTTAGGACTTGGGTATTTAAGCCCTTAAAACAGGGATTTCCACTATCAACACTTGGAGGTTGCACCATCGAAAATGATCGAACATTGGGATTTAACATGATTTAAGCACTATTTAAGCCATGAAAAGTTGGGAATGGTGGACATTAAGGGGGAAACGAAGCCATACGAAAGGGGAATTTAACTGAAAATCATGGCGCTTCTGAGCCATTCCCTTGGACAGTTAATGGTGATGTAATGGGATAGTAATGGGCATGTGGGTAAGGGGATATAAAAGCAATTGTACTGCACACTTGAATTTAATTAATCCAAGTGTTTGGGATTATCAGAAATCAATTCGTGTTCACCGAAGTTTTTCCTGCAGGATCAATACGGAACATCCAAACTCAAAATGCAGCACACGGGGATCCGACAAGGTTGTCCATTCAGCCCTTACCTATTTCTGTTAGTGATGACATGCGTTGATTCCGATGTTAAATCTCGAAGCTCAGGCCATGTTTTGATCTCAAGGATCCCAGGTGTTGATTTCGATGCTGTATATTGCGCAGACGACACAATTATTTTTTTCACAGCCCCAAGAGGATTGAACGAAATATTGAAACATATGGAAGATTGTTCAGGGCATTATGGTTTAAAACTCAACCGTGGCAAATGCCACCCCTTGAGAACATACATTTCAGAGACGGTACTGTTCTACACAAGGCACAGGATGCCACATATTTAGGAAATAATCTAAATCACACTGTAAACCTCAAACGGGAAATCACTCAACGAATCCAAGACGCAATGACGACTTCGAGAAGATTAGCTTTATTCTGGAAGGCATCCAACGCAAGCGAAAAATGCCAGCTGGTCATTTATGATGCTGTTGTCAAACCTTACTCAATCCTTGCGTAAAAAGTTGGAGACCTTCCAGTTGCGCGGTTTACGGCAAAAATTGAAGCTACTTACCCACCACTTTTATTGACAGGCGGTGGACAAATGCAAGGGTATACGAACTCGCCTCTCAAACAGATTATCCAGACAATCCTGCCCAAAAGGTTAGACCCGTCACAGAAGAACTGGATGAGAGAAGAATTCGTTTGGCCGGGCACATATTGCGGGCAGCTAATGATGACCCCCTTAGACAAGTTACGTATCAACCTGACAAGCTGAGCCCGTCCGTATCGGAAAACGTAGAATTGGACCCTACGTTTTGGCATAAAAACCGAGCAAAACCAAGCAATATAGTCCAAAAGCCAACCGCCCAAGCATCTCTCTTTTGGTGCTGATGACCTCGGCACGGGACGCATGGCCAAAACAAATCAATTAGTTAGGGATATCTATAATATTCTATAATATAATATATTTATATATTTATATATACTTGCAAAAAGAGATGGTATATATATATATAATAAATATAATATAATGTATATATATAATATAACAATAAAAATATATATTAATATATAATATATTTATAATATGTATATATATCATATAATGTATACATATATAATATAATATAATATAATATAATATAATATAATATAATATAATATAATATAATATAATATAATATAATATAATATAATATAATATAATATAATATATATATATTATATTATACATACACCCTTTGTAGGAGGTTCGATGAATTTCCCAACAAAGCTAGGGTTTGATAGGTTTTCCAAGTTTAGCGGGCTTTGGAAGTATGGCATGGTTTGGTTTCTTAACTTTAGCTGGTTTCAGTATGGTCAACTCACTCACCCTCTGGTAGTCAAACATAGCTGTGAAAGATTGCCAATTATAGTTGATTTACCTATGTTCCCTGCCAGGTGACTCTACAGTTGATTTCTTCCTTCGTTCCCTTCGTTCCCTTCCTTCCCTTCCTTCCCTTCCTTCCCTTCCTTCCCTTCCTTCCCTTCCTTTCAGTATGGTCAACTCACTCACCCTCTGGTAGTCAAACATAGCTGTGAAAGATTGCCAATTATAGTTGATTTACCTATGTTCCCTGCCAGGTGACTCTACAGTTGATTTCTTCCTTCGTTCCCTTCGTTCCCTTCGTTCCCTTAGGGAGCAATAAGGACTTCCTTCCTTTTGCCGAAGGAAAGGAAGGAAAGGAAAGGAAAGAGGGAAGGAAAAGCAGGGAAAAAACGCAAAGGAAAAAGCGAAGAAGAAGGTAAAGAAAGGAAGTCACACCCGACTTCCTCCCTTCCTCCCTTCCTCCCTTCCTCCCTTCCTCCCTTCCTCCCTTCCTCCCTGCCTCCCTGCCTCCCTGCCTTCCTGCCTTCCTGCCTTCCTGCCTTCCTGCCTTCCTGCCTTCCTGCCTTCCTGCCTTCCTGCCTTCCTGCCTTCCTGCCTTCCTGCCTGCCTTCCTTCCTCCTCCTTCCTGCTTCCTCCTTCCTCCTTCTTCTCCTCCTTCATCCTGTCCTCTTCCTCTTGCGCCTACTCCTGCTCCGCCTGATGTCAGCCTTGTCTTTCCGAGCCATGTGGCGAGCTCCGGATGCTGAAGGGCACGCCTGGACCCGAACACCATATCGCCAGCTCCGGATGCTGAGGGGCACGCCTGGACCCGAACACCATATCGCCAGCTCCAAATGCTGTGGAGCACGCCAGCTCCAAATGCTGTGGAGCACGCCTGGGCCCGAATGCCAGAAAGAAGGCCAAACGGAATGTCAAAATAGATGCGAGATAGAATGCCAGAAAGAATGTCAGAATAGATGCCAGATAGAATGTAAAAACAAATCACTCGAAGTAAACTAATTTACCTATCAAAAAGTAGCGGTATTCCACAGCAAACTGTTGGTTTGCAGTGTAAGTCAACTGAGCCATGTTATTTGCAAGACCCTCCAAGCCTTGCAGGGATGGAAGAAGTCCTACGGCGTAGGGTACCCTGGGTATGTGACGGTGTCTGCGTGCTGGTTGTGTGCAGGAGGGGAGAAAAGCGAGAAAACCATAGAAAACCCACATTGCAATCGTGTTGGTACAAGTAGGGGCCATCCAAATGATAGCCAAGTTGGTTCAGCTCACTAGTATTTCACTATAAGGTTTAAGATAATTACGCTATTGCACGATTGTTTCCTGAGGTCAACACGAACAAACAAACATTGCACTAGGGGTGCCCACCTTGTCGATATTCCTGGAAGTTCCTAACAAATGGTCATGACCCTGAAGCTGCAGAACACCCCCATAGAAAAACTGGAAACCCAGAAATTGCGTGGGGCAGTTGGTACCCCCAGAAGATCCGAAAGGCAATCCAGGCAATCAACTTTTTAAACACATGGGGTACCCGGGTACCCCCCCACTGTGAGACACGCCTTCCATAGATATTATCGGTCAAAATGATTGAACCCTCAAATGTCTGGTTGCCAAACACGTTTGCAAATTACACAGCATGTGGGTCCATTTGGTATCAGTTGTTGTCTCCTCACTTGAGTTTTTGCCATGGCAACCCGAGGATTTTCTTGCTCCACTTTGACTCATTTGGATTGATGTTGGTGGGATAATTGTAGGAAAACATTGCGCATTCATTGATGAAAAGGGTGTGAATATGGCAGAATGCCAGTAGTTTTGGACACCATATGCCCCACCCGTTGTATGGTTTAGACCTCAACAGAATCCGGTGGATGCTTTGTACATGTTGCTTGGTTTGAGCCCCATGTTGCCTCAATTTTATGGTTAGATCCTGTTAATTCATGTTAATTTCACGTTGATTCATATCTTAAACCCTATGTTGCCCTATTCTCATTGGCACAGGCCCACTTGTTTGTGGTTAAACATGTATCATGTAGTTTATTAATAAATCAATTTGTAGTTCCTTGGCTCCCCGTTATGGGGATATAACGAGACTTAACTAACCCCCGGATAGAATGCTGGCTACCCAGGCCAAGGGATAGACTTCAGCAAACGATCAATCATTTATGTTCGAGTCTGTCTGGTACCATCGGGTAATTACTCCATTCCATCCACTGATTCATCATCATGATGAATCATCATGGATTCCTTCACAAAACAAAATAGATGGTTTGATGTGAAATGTTCGAATTCATCACATTTCCAATAGGGTTTCATCATCAGTTTCATCACCAATTGTCCTTACTGAAGTTTTCTCTGGAAACTGCAACTGCTGGGGCTTGGGACCCCCCAAACCCAAGGGCGTCAAAGACGGAGGAAGTCCGAGCCGAGGTTCATCCCAGGCGTCCATTGCTCTATGCCATGCCTACCTTTGATCCGAGGCCGACGTGGAGCGGGGAACGTCACCATTGGTTTCAAGGCTAAGTCACTAAGTCATCCATGACGACTAGATGATTTGGGGGTACCGTGAGGAAACCTTTGGGGTCTTTATTAGGGTTGTCACGTTGTCACGGGGCTTTGAAGCCTGAGATGTTAGAAAAAACAGTATGAGTTGAAATGTGGGATCCACCGTTTTATGGTCATCAGACCTAAGTCTCAAGCAGAAAAGCCGGCTATGACACTAATCCTCCAATTTCAGTAGGAGTATGGCCAACAAAAAACCCGGGGATGGTTTTTTCTTGTGGATCCACCCACTATGAGCTCCATGAAAAGCAATAAATCGAACTTTAACTGGCAAGAAGTATGGAATTCTGACTACTTGGGGTGGTCCAATGTTGTTGGACCCCAGTCATCATTTATATCAACGTTTTCAATTTTCAAGCATGACATTTGTTGATATACTGTGGATGGAAGAAATCCTGCACCACCTTGGATGGTTAAACCCCTATAAATAATGGGATAAACCTCCTATCCACTGGTGCAGGATTTCTTCCATCCACCGTATGTATGACATGACGGTAACTTAAAAATGTGTCAATAAATTTTGAGGCACCCAGATGGCCCAGATGGTTGGGGCACCGTCCAAGATTGGCGGAGTGTCGGGCTTGCGCCCTAGGCTGTTTGATTGGGGAGGTACCATTTGAGTATTAGATTACCACTATTTGGGGAGTACCCCCTAATTAATAAACCATGGTTTATTTTATGAATCCAGGGTTGACATTACAAGTTTTTACGGTCCCATCTCTGAGGTATCTGTCCAAACAAGTCAAACGTTGTGGATTCCTTCTCAAATCCACCAACATAAATCAACATTAACAAAGTACACTGGACACACACACACACACATCTTGGTGTTCAATGGTTGCCTCCCGCGTGCGACATATTTTTCTCCTCCAATGGCGATGATGGTTAGGTCAAACACGTAGACATAGATGTGGACAACAAACTACATTTCCAACATCCATGTTGAGGAACACCTGTCAATATCTTTGCCTTGAGTAATGTAAGACATGCTTGTGGTGGTGGTAGTGAGATTGATTGAACATTATTCCAGATTGAGATTTCCCAAATGCAAGCAACACATTTCTGGACATTTTTGGACTATATAGAGAAGAAAGGGCCAATGGTCCGTTGCTTAGTGCTATGACTTTGCTCCTTTGTGGTATGATTCTGTTTTTGTTCCCACCAAAAATAGAAACCAAAGGACCTGAACAGAGAGGCCCCAAAAATATGAGTTTGTCATAGTTTATAGTTTGTCTATGTTCACCCATGAAACTGCATATATATAATATTCACCGTAAACGTCATAAACCAACAAGACCTACTGTGTAGTTCCACCCCTCAGCAGTCGTTGCCAAATTTCCCATGACTGGGAGATTCGAAGCTATGAATAAATAATATCAAACACATGGTATTAATGGTCCCGTCAAAAATCATTTTGTAATCATACGACTATATTTTATTACTAGCGAGACTTGTTGGAACCATCCCATTATAAAGATTATGATATGTGATATATATATATATAGTATTATATATAGTATTATATATATAGTATTATATATTATTTTCTTATATATTATTATATATTATTATAGTTTTTTTATATATTATTATATATATTATCATTTATTATTATATATTATCATATATTATTATATATTATCATATTATTATATATTACTATATATTATATGTATAATATGTTCCATCATGCTGTAGTAGAATACAATATACCATGACCAGTACGGAACATACCCATGTATTGCAACCCTCAAAAAGATAGAACACAATCCACCTTTTGAAATTGATGTTACTTTTCTATGTTTTTGGGGATTGCTACATGCCACATTTAAATCCCATATGCCAAACACAGCAGCACGTTGGCAAAACGGATTCCCCAACGGATGACACAAATTCACCATCTGTCCTGCAGCAGAAGCTGTCAAGGTATACCAACTTTGAGTACGAGCCGCTGATTTCAGGTGCCACAGGAATGTTGGATTGTATGCATCAATCCCTACCATCTTTTGGCTGCACATATGGGTGCTATCTGAAAATGGGGTAACCATGAGTAACCGTATTCCAAGGGACGGATTTGTTTTTCTGCATTAGAGTTGTTATCTTGCGAGTACCCCATTTTCAGACAGAGCCATGTGTTGGGTTACGCTTACAGTTCTTTTAGCAAACTTGTTGTAAAAGTTGGAACAAATACAAACATAAGACCGCATAAATATTAAATTGTAATTATATACTATACTTACTGTAGATGTAAGTATCAATGGGAATTTCAGGATCCTAAAATGGAGGTACTGTACCATATAAGGCCATATTTTGGGGGAATATTCCCTTACATAGGCCTTACATAGGCCTTATATACGGCAGGTACCTCCAATTTAGGTTCCTGAAATGGCCATTGATAAGTATGTTCACTCCTTACCTAGGATGCTTTTGATCCGGAATTAACATTTTGTTGTACAACATTATTGAAGCAACCAAACAGGCAATCGCAAGGTTATGATCCATACAACTGAGGGTACCATCCTGGGCAAGAAACTAACTGACAAGATGCCGGAAAAATCACACCCCCTGTTAATGAACACCCAAGAAATGTGTTGGGGTCTGTGACCTCACCATCGGATTCAACTTCTGACACCTGGCTAGTGGCTTGCAGTGCCTGTTTTTTTTTGTTTTTTTTACGGAAGTGTTTGTCCAACAGTTGCAGAGACTTGTCTTGACCCAGTTACAGGCGTATACAGTAAGTGACAAGTGTATCAAGATAATGGTTAAGTATATTTTATTCAGACTAAACTTGGCCCATGTGCGAAGGTACAGAACGGTTATGGATGGTTATGGCTCCAGCTTATTAACCTCAACATATATTGTAATCACACCAAGTCATCTAGCCTTTTTTTTGTTGGGGCCCGGTTCAACACGTCAGGAACGGACGCGACACGAAAGTGGATGGTCGAGCCCCTGCCTCAGTGATGTGAAGGAGAATCCCATCCTCCATATGAAACACCCATGAATCACGGGTCCCAAATATTCTGTCTCCCCGGTGACCCTGGCAGATAAGGGTCGGAAGTTTAGTTTCCAGTAAACATGGACCACATGGATTATCGTTGAGGGTCTATGTTAAACAGTACCAGAGGATGCATCCCATCCCCTATCATAACTAGGATTTCTGGCTGTCTTTTTTTTTGGGGGGAAGGGATTAGTGATGGGGAAGATTTATGAATATGATAGATTGACAGTATAGAACTTGCAGTAATCAATGGTTGTTATACACCAATGGAAATTGACAGCAATATACGTGCAATAATCTTAATCAAGATTCTATGAATGGGATATACAATGGGATATCGACAACAATCATGATTTGACTAACGTGGAAATGTACCAACAATCGTCGATCGTCGGGAAGATTTAAATAACATAAATTATATAACTAACAACTCAATCTTATTCGGAATTTCTCGGGGAGTTGCAATGACATCACTGGCCCCACGTCACCAAGACATGACACTTCGTGCTCGGGTGATTATCCCAAAGTGATCCAAAATGACTGTAATGTGGGAAGCCCAATGCCATAAGCATACTTTTTGGGGATGATATATACTCATATATATATATACACATACGACTCATAAACATGGTGATTTTCGCGATTGTTTATTATTGGGTTTACCACATTATTTCAGTGTGAGTTCTGTGAAGTCAGCTAAGATCTTTGACTCCATAGCCTCCAGCAATCAAACATGACGTGTTGGAAAATCATCGTTAAGTTTGATGATTTTCCCAACGAAACCACCATGGCTTCGGGGATTTCCCGTTAGCCATGTTTACTGCAAGAATCATTTCATGACAATAACCAGGATTAACAATTTATTAATGTAAAACCATGTTGGTAGCCTTCTTTACGTTTCGGGGCTGGGGTCACTTTTTTTTTTTCTGGCGCTTCCGTTGGAGGCCTTGATTTGCCGAACATGTTTGTGGAAATGGGACCTACCCGATTTCAATTGATTTTAATTATCCATTAATTACCCTAATTTGTGACATAGCTATGAAAACCATGGCCCATACACATCATTTACCTACATATTAGAAATGGTGATTTTCCATAGCTATGTAACAGATGACCAGAGGCTAATTCATGTTTTGGCCGTTGAAGAATCGAGAACAAACGTGTTGTAAAAAAAAAACATGGCCGCTGATGGTCATCATTATCAGCTCTCAGGTTCTCCGAAAGATAGATGGACAGAGCCTGCTGTTGTATGGATATCTAATAGTCCATATATATATATACATATAATACCTTCAATATCACTTGATTATGATTCAATATTCAGTATCAGTCAAGTTGTACATGTATCCATGAATGAATTATGATGACCTCACTGCGATGTCACTGGAAGGATGATTAGTTTACGAGGAGTTTTTTTCCACGGCCTCCCAGAGATTACAGGAAGATGTGTTGCCTTTTTGCAGGCTGATGAATGGCCCAATAGTAATTACGTAAATCACATACATATTATATATATAGTATATGTATTATGAGTTTATGAATATAGTAATCCTGGATTGATAGAATCTGTAAACTAACAAAACAACAAACACATCAAACACATCCGCTGGACCGCTGCGAAGCTCTAGGCGACACTGGTGGTCCAAGGAAGAATCACTGGCATCTGGTGCAGAATTTGTTGGGGCTGGCCCAGTGGGGAGTTCAGATCCCCAAATTCATCAAACTTAGGGATCTAACTTAGCTGAGAAATCCTTAAGAAATAGAGATTTTAATGGAAAAATCATGGGGACATCCCTTGAAATGGAGGTTTCTAGCTGGGATTTCGTCAATGATTTTGATGCTTAACGGCTTGGGTTTGTCTAAACCTTCAAAACTTCGAAAGACCTGAAACCCATGGACCATCAGGGCAGCTTTCCCATTCTTTGGCAGGTTTTGGGAGACCACAGGGCACTGTGAGACTGCGCGCTGTACTCCTTGAAAAACCCTGCAGTATTCCAAGAAAAGATTTACTGTATCTGTCTATCTACAGAATAGTAGCATTCCCGGTTTTTATATAAATAGTATAGAGGTTCAGAATTCTTTCCAAAGAACAGTTGAAAATTGAAAGAACCGTATTCCTGCAACACATCTCATCTCGCCACATCTCATCATCGATGCAAAGCGTGAGACATTCCCCCAAAGATGCAGTGTTCAATGGGAGGAAGTGTAGTCTTCTCCGCCAAAAACACTGTATTTACAGTTTCTCTTAAATGGGACAGAATCCCTTTACATCCCTTTGCAAGGGCAACACTCCTGCACAATATGCAGTACTGTAAAGTACTGTATGTATGTTTTCAACATACAGGATTCCTGTTGAAAAGTGCTGTATTCAATGCACAATGTTCCTTGAAAGATATCTGTTCAATTTAAGTAATTATGTTACGTTCACAAATTACAACCTGCTTGTAGGACAGACGAGATTCCTGTCAAGAAGCAGTGTTGCTGTGAAGAAAAGATGCTGTTTGAAAGACGTACTGTAATATTCCCTTGGAAGAACTCCGGCATTCCTTTGGTTTATTATTGGGAAGGACAGTGTTGTTTTTTAAAAGTGAAGACACAAGCAGAACTTGGATTGATTTTGCACAAACAACTTGGAGAACGAAGAGGCTGAATCTTGGCTTTAGAAAATGTCAGGTAAATCACCCTATGTATTATTTGACGTGAAGATTGTTCAGAGATAGCGCTTGATTCAATATCAACAAAATAGTGGTGGTGGCTCAAAGGCACAATTTTCCAACATGGGCTCACCAGCACAACTAACCAACCTTTGTGCATATTTGTACTGTCTGTTCTATGTGAAAACTTTTGCTGCGCCATAGCATGGACTTGAAAGTGACTTGAGGAGTTAAATGCAATTAGATGCCTTCCTTGATGGATTTCAGTGGAGCCGAAACTCCATGTCCATATGTTTAAGAGGCTGTTGCTACTCGCATAGTTTTTGCTGTCCGTCAAGTAATGTCAAGTATCTATGATGAGAGCAGAGATTGGAAACCACAATTACTTTCTTCGAGTGATCCCCACCCTGACACACTGCGCCGACAAAGTTTCTATCATACCATCTGGACATATGTGTATATTCAATATATATATATATACACAATATTTATGACATTCTAGCCGAAATTATTTCATGCATATACTCTGACATTCAATCTGGCATGTTTTTTTCTGGCATTCTATCTCTATAGCATTCTATTCTGACATACTTTCTGGCACATATTCTGAATTTCCTTCTGGCATTCTATTTGGCATCTATTCTGACATTCTTTTTGGCATTCTATCTGGCATATTTTCAGGCATTCTATGTGGCATCTATTCTAACATTCTATCCGGCATTCTATCTGGCATCTTTTCAGGCACTCTATCTGACATATATTCTGACGTTCTGTTTGGCGTTCTCTCTGGCATCCTGTCTGGCATGTGTTCGGGTCCAGGCGTGGCCCACTGCATCTTGAGCTGGCGTTTTGGGTTCGGGCCAGGTGCCTTCACAGCACCCTGAGCTGGCGATATGGTGTTTGGGTCCAGGCGTGGCCCACAGCATCCGGAGCTGGCGACATGGTGGGAGGAAGGAAGAGGAAGGAAGCAAGGAACGAAGGAAAAAGTTGCACCTTTGTTAAAATCTAGAGACCCTCACCTGGCACATGGGGAAAAAACGGTCACTGAAAGATGGAGTTCATTCTATACTACAATGAAGATGGCTTCGCGTGGATCAACATGTTAGGCCACAGGGATTCAGGGACACCTTTCTTGTTTAAGAATTCAACCATTTTCCATTTTGGGGACTTTTGACCTATGATCCAAGCTTTAGGGGTGTAGTGTAGTTTCGTTCTAGTTCTGTGATTGAGTGCGTAACTGAATGTAATGCAACCGGCATATTACCGGTTCACTCAACAGGGGCGCGGTGCGGCAACACCAACGCATACACTGAAAAGACGCGGAGTTGCATTCTGCCAAAGAGATGTGCTCGCAAGATATGATGACGGATTGCATCTAGCCACGTGTTGCGATGAAAATCCAGGGGCACCTCCGCTTGATCATTGAGCGCCCTTAGAGCTCAGCGCCCGCCGACCTCATGCGCTGGCAACATTCAACGGTGAAACCATCAAGCCTCTTTGGCCCTTTGCCCTTACACGGCCAAGCGTCTTGGGCTCTTGTGCGGCGGCCAAAAAGAGACAATTGACTGGACAAGTTTCGGGGGACAGCACGTTTGACATATATGGACGGTGGAATCTTCA